AGCGAACGGGTATATGCTTCCCCTGTTTACAATGTCTGCTTATTTTTTTTCGCTGCGCGGCCGCGTTAGAGTCGCCCCCCGGCCCGGGACAGTTTGACAACCAGGGGCAGGCCCCCCCAGGTCGCCTGCTGGGTAGACTTTTTTTCTAATCGCACTGGCGACTGCACGAGGCGCGACCGTATTTCTCCACGCTGCTCTTTCACCTATTATTGCCGACATGTTCCTGGTAAATGCCGTCAAAAATGCTCATCATCGGCAACACGCGCTGGCTGCCAGCACGCTAGGCGTGCTGCACAACGGACACATAAACTATATTTACTTATAGCAGGGTAGAAAGCGTGCCTGCCAGATTCGCTTGACCGCTCGCTTGATTATCACACGAATACACACAAATTAATAAATCAACAATTCATACGATCCAGTGCTTCGAAATAGACCGTTGTACGGTCCAGTGTACGTGACCACATTGCAGGGCACTTGAAGGTAGCTTCAATAAGAATATAGATGCTAAACAGATACGCCGAGAATCTATTTACTACATTGTTAAGGGGGTCTCGGTTAGACCTCCCGTTCACCTATTATTGGCCGACAGTTTTCTTGTCAACTTTGGTCCAATTGTTATAGCGTCCAACCTGATATGCGCCGGGGGGGGGGCGGCCAGTTGCTTTCGCCGCGCGGGGCGACCTCGGTTGCAGGGTTGACACTGAAGTACTACTCCCATAGCCAGGGGTAGGGGAGGGGGGGTGAGGAGCGGGCGGGGGGGGCCCGGCGATCGCGCACAAATCGCATCGGCGGTTGCTGCGGGGCGATTCAGGCGCAGCTTTCAGGAGCAGAACAATCAGACAGCTGCCATCTTTGTTTTGGCTATGTCAAGAACACTGTGTTACTTGTTGAATAAAAACATAATGTCTCTCTTCAGTAACCAAGCTGTTTCACGCAAATCAGCTCAAACGACTGACGAAATTCTTGCTGCTTCGCCGAAACCTTGCCTGCTATGTAAATGGCTGCAAGTACAGGGCTTATTATATAGACTGGCCAGGGTTCTCCCCAGCGATGAAATTGTTAAACGGGTCGGGGAGGGGAAGGGGAGGGGGGAAACTGTTGGAGGAGGGTCCGGGGGGGGGTGCCGTGTTTCTTTTACGCGTGACCACTACATTAATTGTGATAATAAATCGCCACCACACCACTAGACAGCGCTATTTGGGCCTCGGTTCTTGTATATATATAGATAGCCGCAGTCAGTGACTTCAGTATAGTGCTTGGGTGGTGGGGACAGGCTTGACTGTTTTTTACTTGTGTATTTCTGCAGGGCATCAGTGCATGCGTGGCAGGGTAAAAATACACGTGCCGGGTGTCCTGGTCGAATGGGAATTCTTGACGATCGATTCCCCCGCTGGCAAACTTTTATTGTGGTAGAATTTAATCGGGGCGGAGGTAATTTAAACGAGGCGCAACGATTGAAACAGGGGGGAGTTTTCCCAAACGGGGCGCACTCGCCCCGTTTGCGCAACGTAGGGAGAACCCTGACTGGGACTCGCTCCCACCTCGATTACCCATAGCTAAGCCGAGAGGTGGGAGCGAGTGCCAGTCTATGGGCTATAGGCGGTGCGCAGGCGGCGCACTGCTTTCCAACTCCCGTACGAACCTCGTCATTGGAACGTTGCAAAAACGTTGCAGCGTTGCGGCGCAAGAATGAGGCCACGAAGAGCGCCGGTGGGTGTTTCCTGATTCTGACAGACATTTACACTACGGGGCAAGGTTCGCGAACGCGAGAATTTCGTCAGTGTTTGTGTGATTTCGCATGACACAGCTCGGTTACGAACAGAGACATTATGTTTTTATAACAAGTGAACACTGTTCTTGACATACAAACAAAGATGGAAGCTGTTGGATGTGTATTCGTGCTGTGAAAGTGTGAAATCCAGCGAGCGTCGAGCGAATTTTGCGATCGTGCTTTCCTACCTGCTATATATATAAGTGCAAGCGTGCAACAGTCACGCCGCAAAAGCAATGGCGCCGGCAGCGTATGGTTGGACGTAGGATTTGGACGGTGAAAGAGAGTATAGAAACATTAAGAATTTGGTAGTAAATAGATTTCGTATTTAGTTAGCATTATATTTTATTGAAATGCTTCAAGTGCCTGTATCCGTGACAACCCGAATTTGCGCCGGACAACATAACTAGACTGAGACATTGTCCGGTGGTCAACCAAGAAAAATGTGACGAAAAACGCACTTTATTTATATTTTTCTGACCGCGAATTGAATTTCTTTCGGCTGTCGATCGGCATGCATTGCGTCCATAGCTAGTGTTGTTTAGCGGCTTCTCATTGGTCAACAATGCCGTGGCTTCTCATTTGGCTAATAAGTATGCGTATCACAACTCACGTTCGTAGCGACAACAAATTGGACTGTGTAGACAAGTTTCATCGGCGAGTAAACAGGTAACTACTTATCGATCACTACAAACGCTTTTTCTGCAGAGACAAATGACTTGTTGCTGGTAGATTTGTTGTGGCAGTGATGTAATCTAATCTGCCTGAGAGGTAAACATTGACTAACTGGACCGAGTGTATCAGCGATAATAGAGGTATTCTATAGTTAGCCATGTCAAGCCATTTTAAACTTATTTAAAATAAAAAAATAAAACATGCAGTGAGTCACTGTCAGTAAGTATAGCTGTTCCAGTTGTTAAGAATGATATCAATTTTGAAACAGACTTCTTAGAGTTGAGAAGAAAAGTTTATTTTTTATACAAAACGGATTCTATTCAAATGACAAGGTTAGGTTTGGATTCGAGACAAAGTTCTGTGTTCCATTGGCATTGATTCAATGAGACCTGGAATACATTTTGCATAATATATTCAGTTGCAGCTTGAATTTTTATTTAATGGGTATATAGTGATAATTGCAGCCAATGTCATTTAGTATCGAGTCATATGAGTCACACTGCAATAATATTATTATACATCTGAATGATCTGATCATAAGTGGACCAATTGATATATAATAATATTATTGCAGTATGACTCATTAAATATGAGTGAATACCCTGAAACCCGATGTCTTGCATTTTTATAAACCAAATTTTTTTTGCTAATGTCAAGACTCATGCAAAAGAAGATTAACTAGTCACGATGACCGTCCTGATTCATGCAAAGTATTAAGTTCACAGGTTGAAATAAAATAAATTTAAAGATATTACTCCTACAGTATGTTTTTGGGCAGTGGCGTAGTTGGGGGGGGGGGAGTGGGGATCCATGTTGATCAGAGTTAAAAAAATAGAATTGTTCTACTAAAAAGAGAATTGTCGTAGTCAGAATGAAGGCTTTACATCTTACAGGCTGCAAATACCATCTCCTTTGATATACATTTTCACAATTTTCTGGGGGAGGACTCCCATACCCACCCTGCCTGTTTTTTACCCCCCCCCCCCCCTTGGAATCCTAGACCCGCCACTGAACAATTACAAATCTTGGGAGCAGAGAACAATGAACAAAAATGTTGCCTTTTCGCATGGCGCCCAAAACAAAGATTGCAGAGCTGAGAGGTAGAGGAGCCATAGGGTGTGGAGAGGGAGGCGGAGGAGCCATTAAAATATTAAGTCATCCACTATTTTGCGCAGTTCGCTGTTTTTGGCCCCCCTTGTTAAAAAATCCTGGCTATGCCACTGTTTTTGGGTGTTTTCTGATCATATTATTATTATTATGATTATTGAAAATAGGAGATTTGGGGATGTTTTTTTGGGACAACCAGAAATTGGTGCGGACAACGGACAACCACATTTTTATTTTATTTCGAGCACTGTACTCCATCTTTGTTTCTATTTGAAGGACAGTGTTCACTTGTTATAAAAACAGACTGTCTGTGTTCGTAACCGAGCTGTGTCACGCGAAATCACACAAAGCCTGATTTGAAGCAACGTCAAGATTTCAGACTTTCAGATCTGAAACATTTATTTTCGCATCAAAACTTATGCATATATCACTATCAAGAGTATATAATGGGAGTTCTCTCTTATATACTCTTGCTTTATATATCCCCCCTCCCTCTTCTATCACACCCAAGGTGAGCTACAGTGTCATTGACACTTTCATTTTATCAAGCATGTGAATCTAAATTTATTCAGTAAAGCCCCTGGCCCTCATATAAATTACTGATTCCATTGATCCATTTCTCACCATGATTTATGATGTTTTCCTTGATTATCCCTAGATAAGGCTTTATAATCAACCTATATTATGTATATGTGCATACACGGCCCACGCAAAGCCGCCCATGTCAGCAATCAGCGATTGCTTGCTGGAGTTCCAATCATTCTTCCATTAGGCATCAGACATAGTTCAGTAAAGAGGCATGGAATGACAAGGAAGAGGAAAACATGCTGTCATTTGTGAAAGTTTAAAATTTGGCTAAGCCTTATAATAAACAGGTATTTCGTGTGTGTGACAAATTTCAGAATGGCTCAATTTGCTAAGAATATTGGTGATTGCCAGGAAATTTCAGAAATACTATCTGGTTAATAGGCACCCTAACCCTAACAGAAAGTAAATAAAGCTAAATTTGTACACGGCGACTAAGAAGTGGTTTATTAGAAATAAATGAAGTTCTCAAGTTTCTCATATTGACCAGTGCCAGGCTGATTTGCCTGTTTGGCAGCCAGAGAACCTAGTAGGACGTATATCAACATTTAGCTTGACATGATTAAACCAGGTAAATCATTACTAACGCTAAGAGGGTCTATATGTCCTCCAGGGTACTGCCGGAACGTACCCGGGGTACGGTCCGGTATACCGGAACGTACCCTGGTACCAGAGCATATAAATCAACGTGATTTATATGCTCTGCTGGTACTATCTAATATGCCGGACCGTACCTCGCCTACTCCACTAACGAGTCTAGGGAGTCGCCTACGCCTACTCCCTAACGCTAACCCTAACCCTAACCCTAACCCTAACCCTAACCCTAACCCTAACCATATCAGATAGTTACCAGGGTACGTTCCGGTATACCGGACCGTGCCCAGGGTACGTTCCGGCAGTACCCTGAACGACATAGACCCTATGAGCATTGCTAAACCTAAACTGTGCCAGTTAGGGTTTAAATGAACCCATATACAGTACTAATGTGAAATAAAAGTTGTAAGACCGTGAAAACATAAATTTGATTTATGCTAAATATTTTAGTGCTGAATTGCTTTGTTCAGTTGGATGTTGTTATTTATTTACGATCACTGAAACTGGCTGTGATATGGATTAACCAAGTATGTTGCTTCTCCACCAGTGACTCCGAGGGTCATCGTTGTCTATCAAGCCTGTCATTAAAGGGAGATTTCGCGTGTGTGCGACTGTGATTGAGCATCAAAACTGCCATTCAATTTGTAGTAAAATTAGCTAACTTTGAAAAGACTTTTTTTTTACCAATATAACGAGGATGGGAGCACGTTCATGCCACCGTTGCAATTAATCATGCTCTGCCTAGCCGTGTTATCAATTTATATCTTAATTATTTGTCATTTTTGACAAAGCTCGTGTATTTTAAAGCCCTACAGTTTATTTGTGTAACCAGCTAGTTTAATGCAGTGTTTCCCCTGGCCAAAAAGGTCTGTGAGGTGGTAAATTTGTGTGTGTTTGCGCATTTCGAGGTCCTAGCAAAGCGAGCACCGCAGGTGAAAAAATGGTGCAATTTGGTGTATTATAAGCACTGTTCTATGGAAGAGCACTGTTCTCTTTCGTCAGCGAGGCGGTGTTTTGGACAAATTTCTGTGTGGCGGCTGAGCATTTGAGCGAGGCGGGCCGCCTCGCTCATGTCAATGCAGGGGAAACACTGGAATGTATTTGTAAAATTCAAGTAGAAGGCAAATGAACTTAGTGCAGTGCAATGTAATTTCAGCTGAGTGAGCCAGAATGAAAGAAGAAATGATAGTTAGTAATGCAATAGATTAAAATGAGAATATGTAGGCCGATTGGAATCTGAATGAAAGACAATGTAGTCTAAGCATTCATAACTATGGATGACTGTTAAATTTTAACTTGCTTTATACCCCTTAGGCCTAAGTCAGTTTATATTCAAAGTCTCTGTAAGCACACGTCATCATAATAACTGCTTCTTTAATTTATTTATTTTTCTCAAGAATGAGTTGTAAACTGACAAATACGTAACAGTAATGTAAATATTTTGGTAATATGCTAATTCCAACATTATTCGTTCATTAATAGTATTATATAGAAATATTACTGCAGCACACCCTAAAGGTAACCATGTGAATTTCTGCATCATGGTATTTAAATATTTCTACAATACACAATGATTAGAGGAAGTGTTGTTTGGGTGGACCAAGCTTTGCTATTACTCACCGAGTGTAGAACTGTGTATCTGATGTATAATTAAAGAAACCAATAATCAACACTTATCTTCAACATTCCATATACATTAGTCCAGTCTCATGTATGTATAATTGAGGGGAAGGCACTAGGGTTTGGTCCTAGTATCAGAATGGTGATCGGGTGAGTGTTTAATTAGTATATACTGATTTATTAGATGTTCTCGTATTTTGTGTCATTGATCATTTCATTATTTATTTCAGAATTTTATTGTACTGTGATGCAGTTGATATGAAGATAGAATCAAACACCGATGTAGACCATTTCAAGGGGAACCACAAAGGGCGAGTGTACCTCACAACACACAGGGTACCAAATTATCTTGAAAGCTTTGCTTGTAAAAGGAAACAAACTGCATCTCAATAAAGCATAACGTTACACGAATAGAAAGCAACGTTGGGCATACATAATAAACATGCATCTGCGCTATGCATTCCTAATCTCATTTCATCACACTCGTTATCACAGCAGGAATATGCAATAAACACACGTCTTTATTCCTGAAACCCTCTTACGTGCATCATCCCAACTTGCTCCGCCATAACCGAGTGGCACAGTCGCGATATCTCGTGCTGCTCATCCCGACCCCGCTTGCTCCCGCGCGCGTAAAACACACGCAGGTGTAGATGTAGTCACGTTGTTCTCTCGCAGATGATCTTCACGAGCGTCAGCGACAAGGACATGCTTCAGTCGTTCAGCATGCCGTTCATGTGCATCAAGGAGCTGGAGCTTGAACAACCCGTGTTCGGCGCCAACTTCATAAAGGGCAAGGTCCTGTCACAGCCGGGCGGTAAGTGCCATCGCGCGCCTGCGCTCGTGAAATGTCAACGCAACACGCGTCAAACAGCAAGAGAGAGGGAGAGAGCAGACTGCACTCGTGTCGCCTGGTTGTTCCCCTCAGTGCACTCCCATTAGTTCTGCTCAACGTCGTTAGTTGTTTTGCGGCAACGGCTGGATACTTGCTTGTGGTAATTGGAATTCGGACTATCATACATGGTTAATGTAGGGGATTAATGGGAATGTAGATTGACATGAATTAAAAATGCAGACGAATAAGCACGTTAATTTTAGCCTTTTCCACTGTCAATATACATGTACATGTTACGATCTTTGCTGTGCAGGTAACTGGAATGGTCAGGCAAAGTTTAAGCTGCACTTCATGCATGGCGGAGCGATTGAATACGGTCAGGCACTGCTGAAGGCGGGAAGAATGGGTGAGTTGCCGTGTTGATGAAAACAGTTGCGATCATTAGCATCAGTTGCGTGGACACGAATGCAAAACGTCTAGTGTGTCTTCGTTTCAGCTTTACTTAGCTGCTTTAGCAGGCTAATGCGCATACTATTAAACTGTCATTTTGTGTACGGCGGGCGTGAATTTAAATGAAAATGTAAATTTCTACCAGATTCACAATAGCACATTGGATCTGTTGGTTTTTAAAGGTGTCATGCTGTGACGTTTATAAATACATTTTCCTGCTGTATTCGAATATTTCCTAGCAATATAATTTAATGAAATGAGAAATTTTTTTTGTATTTATATAGCATGCAGTAGGGGAATGGCCCAGCAACCACCACCGTACGTTCCCCCACCAGCTTCATTCCAACAAGCTCCTCCACCAATGTACATGCCACCACCGCAAGGATACGGATTCCAACTGCCAACTGACACATTTCCCACAGCTCCTCTCGGTAGGACATGCTCGATCAATTTTAATGTGAAAAGTATCATTTATTGTAATTATGGGAAGATTGGAATGTTTTACGTACAATTAATAGAATCGAATTGGTGGTATAAAGAAGGGGAAATTCATTGCACTCGTGTTTGCATGTCGTATGTTTACGTGTTTGTGCATGGGAGCACCGCACTGGTTTATCAACTCTGTTCAATGTCTCATGCAGCGAATGGACCAGGAGTGTACATGTATGATGCACCACCTCCTTACCCCGGCATATATGAGACGACCCCACAGCAGGCGCCCTCTGCTGCAGGTTAGTAGAAGCTTTGATAGCGTAAAAAATCATTTATAAGCTCATGTCAATTAAAGGATAACCTGTCCTCGCTCCCCTACTCGTTATGATTCTGTTGTTTACAAGTAAGTACATGTCACATGAAAGTGAAGTCATGCTCATAGATGATGTCATTTCCTTCACCGTGGTTGAAGTAAACTTAAGGATCAATTTGTAGCAGCACAGTTGCTTTATTTGGGGAATTGTAGTTACTACGGAAGCTTTGGGCAGAATGCGATAGCATGTTTTTTGTTGTATTCATTGTTTCTAGAATGTCCTGTGTAGAACCCCATGTATGATACATTACCAGCGATGTTACCAGTGATATGATGTCATTATAATTTGTGATTAAATAGTTATTATAATTAACATTTAGGTGTACCTCAATTATTGTATTGACATTTGGTGGATTATTTGTGGTTTTTGCAGCTGCGAAGGCACAGGAGGCCGCACAGAGCCAACCGAACAATGCTTACTACAATCCGTCGAACCCACACAATGTCTATATGCCCCAGCAGGTTAGTCTATCCTAGTAAATTATGCAACACATGTTGAAGAACGAACTAGAAGTGTTACATGTGTCCACGTTTCAACAATTGAAGCAGTTCAGCAAACTTTAACGCTGATCCAGCAAACTCACTGCTGCTGTACGTTAGGGTCCCTGGATTAGCGATGCTCATTTTGTATCAAATATGTAACTTGTCTCGCAGCTTATAAGATGCTCCGATGCATTGATTGTACCCTAAATTTAGATAATAATCTGAAATGAATTGTCAGCAAATAGTTCTGTCATCTACCAGGTATATGCTTACGGTGGGTAAGACAGCACCCTTGTATTTCCTATGCTTTCACCTCTCTTCAAGTCTCTGTATTTTGTGAGCCCTCCTCGCTATCTACATTCAATGATTCATATGTCAGCATTGGTTGGCACTATAATTGCAGCTAAAACCCTGACCTTCGGCTTATTGGATGCACAGTCGTTTTGCAAGATATTTTTTGAGAAAAAACAGTACCCTGTAAGCCACAAAATACGATACTCTCCTGATCACAATACAAACGAAGTCGCATCACTCTGGTACATTAAACAAGTGAACAATGGGCAGCAAATGTCAATCAGCTCAACACTGCACATTCCATCCCATGAAAATGTTTTTTTTAAATTAATTTACAAATAACTAATAAATGTTACACTTGGGGAAATTAAAACATAGCCAGTAGCGTGATAATCATGTAGGACCAAGTACATGCGACGCACGTGGTAGCAAAGCATTGGCATTAAACTGGTGGATACTTTTCGTTTATAGCTATGAGGATGAGAACCAGAATTCATTAGCCTAACTACATATTCTAATTTCAAGATTGTGTACATGAAAAACTTGGTTACTTGGAATGTGCGTGTGCGTGCGCGTGTATATCCCCAGCTTATAATCTGCTAGACAACTCACATGATTGCCATGAAATTTTGACTAGTTGACACTGAATACATGCTGTTTCTATTCTTTCCGCTTTTATTCATTCTTCTGTAATAAATTTTGCAGCTAATAATGTAACACTGTAGAGGTTTAGGTAAATATATGGTATGCATTCAGTTGCTGCTAGGCAAAATCGTCATTGATCAGTCTTCAGCAGCATAGCATTACGTGGTTGTACAGTTCCCAAATCAGCGCGTGTGCGGGCAGCGACAACTCACCATCGCCTGTCACTCCGCATTTATCCTGCTGAACCATGACGAAATTCCTCGTTGGCTCTGATGAGGAATTCGTTCATTTGGTTTGACACAAATCCCGACTAGACTAATTCCTTCTTGTTTAAATTTTATTATTATTTTTTAATTAAACCTTTTTCTAATCGGGGCTGTGGTCGCCACCCATTTACTAATTCGAGTTCTTTTCAGCCCGGTGCTGGGATGCAGCAACCTCCACCATATAACCCAACAAGCAATGGCTACCCGCAGCAGGCACCACCATACCCCCAGCAGGCACCAGCATACGGGTACCCCCAGCAGTCACCGGCGTATCCACAACAGGCACCGGCGTATCCACAGCAGTCACCGGCTTATCCACAGCAGTCACCGGCGTATCCACAACAGGCACCGGCGTATCCACAGCAGTCACCGGCGTATCCACAGCAGTCACCGGCGTATCCACAACAGTCACCGGCGTATCCACAACAGGCACCGGCGTATCCACAGCAGGCACCGGCGTCTGGATACCCCCAGCAGGCACCGGCTTACGGGTACCCCCAGCAGGGAGCTACAGGCCAGGGTCCACCATACAGTGGACAGACACTTCCCAGTTACGAAGAAGTGTCGAGAGACAAGAAGAATGATTAATACACATCTTCTCGTCGATAGAGCTTCGAAGCAGAGTAAATTGAATTTCGTCGTCTCATCAATTATTATCACGAGAATTATATTAAACACTCTTTTTTTCTCGTGTTTTCGGACATCAGTCGTCGTGATTATCCTAAAGGATATGTGATCGCTGTCTGTCTTGCAGCGATTATATATGTGTGTACTGATTTACCGGATTGCATTTGTGTGTGACAGTGAATCAGTAATGCCATTAGTAGATTTTATCGCACATACATTCTATACTTGTATAAATGGACTCTTTCTGGCGCCAGTACATTGTTCCAATAGTGCCTGAACAGACTGAATATACTGTAATGCTTGCGAACCTATGTACGTTGTTGTTAGAGCCCTGGGGCCTGTTGTCAGAACTATCATAAATTGCTATGATATAAGCCCTACATGTCATTACTTTTGAAGTGAACGGTCGTGCAAAGGTTATGACACTGTGGCCTTATATTAGCCATTACTATTTATGTTGATTCGGACATTCGTACTCTGTACTGCTACTAAGTACCAGCCATTGTTTTAGTGTCTGAATATCCTGACATTTAAGTTTCCAGTAGAGCAAACGAGCAGGGAGGTAAACGCATTGTAAGCACGTCGTCATTTTACAGTCTCCGTATTCTCGTATGATGTGGCGTTGATGGCATCGTAATATCGAACCATAGTGATTAGTTCCAGCCCTGAAAACATTATAACAGTGACTGCTCTAAAGTTGAAGTATTTAAATTTTATATCCTCGTTGCAGATAAGCGAATTCTGACTAAGAAGCAACAAATTTGAATACGTTATCATGCGCTTTTAGTGTTAGTCTTGCTCTTGCCGCACTTGTGAAGGATATTTGGTCATTTATTTAATTTGCGCGTAAGAAACATAGTATCTGCTGCATAGCCAGCAATTAATAAGAGAATCTAAAGCGTTATGGTGGGGTTCAAGAAACTGAATAAACATGTAATTACACTGTGATCGATCGATAACGATGTTATAGTAGCTTTACTGAGAATATATTTGCCTCAAAATGGGATTATCGTACGTTTGTTAGTATGTGTTATGTTTAAATTATTTTATCTAATAAACTGTTTTGGGAATATTGTATAGTCACTCGTAACGAACGTGTATTCGTCGTGTAAACCATAGTAATATACACGTTAGTCAAATCGTGGACTTTAGGTTGGTATAGCGATCCTAATAAACACGTGGATTGTGTTATTACGCACGTGTATGTGTGCATGCGACTGATTAACTGACCATTCAAATATTCAGTAGGATTTCTATTAGTTATATTAAGAATTCCAGTGAATAAAACTCGAAATGAGAACGCTGTAATTCCGTGAGTAATCCCTCCTCATTTTTAACATGAGTCTCCCGATGAGGTTTGCCCCGCTCACAGCATGACCATAATTCAGCATTACTTCCGAATGAGATTGGTTGCAGACATATCCGTTACAATGTGAGCGTGTCACTTTTCATTCTAACTAAAGGATGACTTTGTTACTAGCTACGCGCTCTTATACGCCGAATATTTCATATGGAATCATTTCGGATCAGGCAATCGGTCGCCGTGGAGTAGAGGCATACCTACATTACGATGGTGTACTGGCTTGGTGGCGGGTTACTGTATGAGGTAACAGAATGAAACGAATAGAAACTTTGTCGGCGATAGTGAACGACTGAAACTGAAGCTCATGAAGGTATAATAACGGAACGGTGACAAGTCATGGGTGATCACAGTGTGGTTGGCTTCGATGTGAACATGGTTTGTAAAGTATGAGTGATTTTACCTTGGTGTATGCGTGGGGCGTGAGAATGTATTTCAGTGGTGTACATCTGAGAACATGATAACGAATAAAAGGGCCATAGTTGTTAACGTTTCTATCATATATGTGCACATCTAACGTAGAATTCTGCCACGCTATATGTTAAATCCTCACTTTCCTTATCGTCCCAACATTTCTAGATTTGTCGCTCTCAGCTCAGATATGAAATGTCACGAATTGAGAGCGATCGAAGTGCAGTTTGTTTCTACAGCACGCACTACGGTGAAACTCCCGTGTTATTTCAACGTGTTATCAGGAAATGTCGAGATAAAATTCACGCGATTTGAGAACGGTTGGGGGAGGGGGTAACTGCATCGGTTGTAGCGGCTCGTCATTCTCGCATTATAAATCACAAAATGGGATGTAATGTGCAATTGCCGCTTGTACTTCGTTCGTGTACGTACGTAATAAAGAAAATTCGTTCACATTGTTATCCAAAATCTTTTAATACGACAATTAGAACGCTCTATACCGCGCACCGTCAACACGCAAATTGACATATAGGCCCTACGCGTTGCTTCATTGGCAGGCAGTTGTAGCTATAGATGTCATATATACCCCTGATATCAGGAGTGTCGTAATATAGACTATATATAGTCTATATGGCTATATTATCAACAGTCAATAATATAAATTTTCTAAAATTTCGAAAATGTTCTATTATGGACTCTTGACACTATTATGACACTCCTTGTGATATCTATAGGTGTAGTGAATCATTGTTGCAATAGGGCGCTCTAAAAGACGTGTCGCAAATTAATCGACAAATTAGCATGCACGCGTGAAAAACATAATCTATCTAGACCGGCTTAACAAAAATATCCAAGAGGGTGTATCTCGTTCAGACGAACACATGGTTTATACCGGATGTGTAATGTTTATACATATTATCAGGAGTAGATAATAGAAAGAATCTTCTATTATCTACTCCTGATATTATGAGTAGTGCGTAATTCATGTTTTACTACTTGCGCGTCTTGTCGAGCAGAAAGATCACTTCATAGATATTTGTTATTTGGCATGATGTCGTGCACTGACATGACACGCAAAAACCCAGAGCAAAGACGGGGGGGTGGGGCCGAGTAACTGCTCCGAGACCAGAGGTTTTTACGTAGTAAGTAGAGAATAAGGTAGCCTACGCGATTATTTAGCCCATTATAATAATACAAGGAAACTGCGATAACAAAACAAAGATCCTTGTGGTATTTGTGATAAGAATAAATATTGCTCTATTGCACGTTTATGTTATATTCAATCGATACTTTACGTATATCTCATCCTAGTAAAGTTAGATATAGAAATTAGTGCAGCGTAAATCAAGCATAAGTGTCACATCTTTGATCGAATGCAGTTTTTATATTGAGATCATAATAAATATGATGTATATATACATATAGATATGAGAGTTGTTATCATAATAAAGGGCATATGAAACAGACATGGCTGTAGGCCATCAATACACAAATACCGAGCGCTGTAATTCCCGAGTATAGAGCTTTTGCACTCAAATCATGATCACGCGAGCACATTTATATACGCAACTTTTTGTATCAAACATAAATCAATATTCCTAAATTCAATCATTCAATAACTATAAGACCCCATATGGCCCTTATTGTACATTAAATTGTACATAATGAAAGCGAAAAACTTACCTTATAAACGACAGGCTAGCTGGTGGTACTTTTGAGGCAGAGAATTATATTGGCAGGGGGCCCGAGCATAGAACTAGAATAGAAGTTCTTTATATAGAGGAGCATAGAACTAGAATAGAAGTTCTTTTAATAGATGAGCCCCAGAGAGAGGTAACGGAAGGGGGCCCGAGGGAGACGTCTAGCGGAAGGGGGCCCGAGGGAGACGTCTAGCGGAAGGGGGCCCGAGGGAGACGTCTAGCGGAAGGGGGCCCGAGGGAGACGTCTA